AGAGAGAGAGAGAGAGAGAGAGAGACAAAAGTAGCCTGCCTCTTTTTTTATTACATGGGAATATCTCTAGGGACATTAGTCCTCTTGTCCTAGAGCATGAACTATAAAAACTTTGAGCCAGAGGGACAGTACTAAGGCTTGGGTAAACAATTTTAATCATTTCCTTTGGGAAAGAGTTTGATTCAAAAACACCTTCAAGCATTTACACCATTTTCTATCTTTGAGCCTCACCCACGGTGTTTTGCCTTTTGCATGTCTGTTTCTTCACATCCATGTTCCACAAATTGATTCCATCTGCACACTGGAGTTAACAACTGCACTTATTCTGTTGTATGGATTAAAGCTGACCGGGTGCCATTCATGAATATTTAGGTAGTTTCTGAATATCTAAATGACAAATAATGCTTCCAGAACCAGCTCCACGCAAATGGTTTGTTTTTTAAACAATCATCTCTCCCCGTCCCATTGTGTGAATATTCCCATAAACAGAAAATTCCCAAGTGAATGGTTATGAATAATTTTAGAATTCTAAATATTCACTGTAAGACCATTGTCCTGAAAGGTTGGTCCAATTTACCTACACAGATGTGAAAAGCAGAAATAGCACAAAAACCACCTTTCAGACCATTTCTATGAAAAATATTACCATCCGTTGGAATTTAAACAGAAACATTGTGTAAGATGGTCATCAATTTATCATATTTATCACTGTACAGTAATTTATCAAAATTTGAGTCTACCCTAGGCAAACTTTTCCCATGACTCTCTTTTATGTCAATTAAGAGACATAAAATTAAGTCAGTTACTGTGTGCTTGTATGTTTGCAGATAGAAAGATGAATAGTTTTTTAAAGATATATTCAGAAATTATTTATTTTATCTCAACCATCTTCTGTACCAGCTAAAACTCTTCTTTCTTCTGCTATAAGTACAGAGAAACAAAAGCCAGGCATAATTCTCTAGATAATTAATCTTCCATGTGCAGAAAGAATATTACATTATCTCTCAGCCTTTCCTTTTCTATTGGTAATATTTGCAGTTATTTCCGTCTTCCGTCCAAGGTCAGGGAAGTATAAATACAGTGCGATGGTAATTGGGGAAAATGTGGCAGAAATGCTAGTGCATCCTGTTTGTTTTTTGAGTCAAGGTTTCACTCTGTTGCCTAGGCTGGAGTGCAGTGGCCCAATCACAGCTCACTGCAACCCTGAACTTCTGGGCTCAAGCAATTCTGTCAGTTTCCCGACAAGTTGGGATCATAGCCATGTGCCATCTTTTTTTTTTTTTTGGTAGAGATAGGATCTTGCTGTGTTGCCCAGGCTGGTCTTCAATGCCTGGCCTCAAGCAGTTCTCCTGCCACAGCCTCCCAAGCCTCCCAAAGTGTTGGGATCACAGGTGTGAGCCACCACACCTGACCTAGTGAATCCCAAATGCCACGTATGCGTGTCCTCAGAACATCTGAGGAGAGTTAAAAAAAAAAAAAAGGCTTTGGGAGGCCGAGGCGGGTGGATCACGAGGTCAAGAGATCGAGACCATCCTGGTCAACAT